AATTTAATTTAGCCAGACAATGAGTGCTTGTATGCAGTAATTCCCCCACCCAGTTGAGAAAGTATTACATAACTGAGAAGAGGAACTGGTATTTTGCAACAAGGGTGGTTTTCCTAGTAAATTTAGGAGAGCTTTCTCAGTTTATGAGAGTCTTGTCAACTCATTGGTCAAATATAAAAACATAGTTGGTAGTCTTCATATGTGCAAGTGTGCATGCAAAATTACATGTGTGATTTGGAAGCATTTATCATAACTGGCAGACAGCAAAAGAACAGCTATTTCTTAGGTGTGTGGGGAAGACCCGACATCTACTCCCATATTGTCATTAATCCTAAAATATAGAAACCACTGTAAAACTCTGCTTTATTAGGTTAACACCAATAATCTCTTGCTTTGCCCTACATGTTGATCCTTTAAACCAATAGATCTCAACCTTTTTAAACTTGAAGCACCCCCTGTTAGATACAAGGCACCCCTCAGAAAATGCCAGTTTCCATGTGTTTTCTGTCTATGGAAAATTAACAGTGTAATTCTTCTGTTGCAAAGAACTCAGAAAGACAACAATTGGTCAGAATGTTTTTAACACTATGGCTTCCTATTTGAAATCTCTGGGTTTATCATGTAAATCATGTTTGCACACCTAACAGTGCTAACATTAATGGCACCTTGGGGCACCCTTGCAAGGATCTCAAGGTACCCCAGGGGTGCTGCAACAAACTGGTTGAAAATCACTGTTTTAAACATTTGGCAGCTGTATGAACTACAAAAGCAATACAAGCTTGAAAAGGTTTTTTTTCATATAGTACTTAGCATATTGGTTCTAAAACCAATGCCAAGGACCTAAGCAATCCCAAAGATTACAGGCCTCCCTCTGAAAGATTCTGGACCCTACCAACTTCCATTGAAGACAATGACATTAATTAGGATTGCTCAGCCCTTTTCATAATCAAGCTCTTTAATTGTAAAGCTAATTACAGTGGCATAGGTCAGATTTGAACTGAGGCCTGTAGAATAGACCCTGGACATTTGGAAATTACAACTATAGCACAGCATTTAGATAATCTCAAAACTCTCAGATATAATATGCTTGGGGATTGATTTTCATGAAACACCTACCCTTCATCCAACTACAGACACAGTTCTGTGTCCTCCTGAGATTTTCATGAGTAATAACTTGTGGCTATTTTGATGCTACACCTATAAAATCAATGAGAACCATGAAATGAATGGCAGTGTTTAAAATATGTTGGCTAATGATTTCTACCCTGCTAAAGGGGTTGAAGCTTTCTGTGCATAGAGAAGAAATATTTGGTAATCTGGGAGGGAAGAGAAGCTCAGTAACCATTTTCAGTTTAGGCTGCTGAGAAGGCCAAGCTCTAATTTCAGTCACTTTGATTTGCATTCCTAAATGCTTGTCCTAATTAAAGCAATTTGCTTTGGTGTTATGGGCTTAATTATTTCCCCTCCCCCCTCACTGTAATCTGTTGCAAAGCATTTTCAAGTAAATTTAACACTCATGGAACAAGTCAGAGGAACAGTTTGGAAGTGCAGGAGTTCTGCATGGCCAACTACTGAACACAGTGCTGCTTCATGTTGCTTAACAGCAGCCTGTAAAGAACTTCATGGAGGATAATCTACTGAATGCCAAGTAAATTTCATTTTAAAGGAGGCATCTTTTTGCAGTGGTGTAACAAGTAGAGCGGGTGTCCAAGGCAAAACTTGCAAGACAGCAGCAGGGGGCAAACAGGTTCTGAGACCGGGGCTGAAGGGGAGGGGGGAAGAAGTCTTACCTATGCTGGGAATTCCTCAAACGGGGGGGACAATTTTTTTGGCTGGAGGGCCACTTTAGAAATTCTGATGAGCTGTTGCAGGTGGGGGTTTAGGGGGTGCTGACCAGGCCCAATGCAGCAGGGACGAGTACTGACCTGGCCCAGCGTGGTGCGGGGGAGGACTATTGTTCATATCCAGGCCCTGCACCCACCACCAGGAGCACCAGACAGAGCGAGCAGGGGGGGTCTCCATGAAGATTGGCTGGGACCCCTTCAGACCGGGCAGACTTGGTCAGGTAGATAGGATGGGGCCATGGGTGGACAGGGAGCAGCATCTGGGAGCAGGATGGGTGGGCAGGTGAAAGAGCTAGGGCTGGGAATGTGGGATGGTGACAGCCATGCAAGGAGTGGATCACAGCTCTGCCCCTGCACCCTGGCCCCATCCCATCTGCCTGGCCAAGCATACCCGCCCACAGGAGTCCCAGCCAGACTCCATGGAGACCATGCTCATCCACTCCAACCAGCACCTTCAGCAGTGGGTGATGGACAGGTGGGCCAGGATTCCCGGGCAGCCAGGCCAGGTCTGGCAGTGGCAGAGACACTAGCAGCAGCAGCAGCTGGAAGGAGCTGCCACTGCAGGGGCTGCTGGGAAGTAGAGTCTGGCCAGGCCACCCATGTCCTGCCACCTGGGGGCAGCAAGACTGGCCACATGCGGCACAGCCCAGGCTGCTCCCAAGGGACCTACTGCAGGCTAGCTAGAATCCCTTGGTGGGCTTGGTCTGGCCTGTTCACCATATTTTGCCCACCCCTGTCCTAAACAGTCTCCAGCTAAGTCACTGCTGCTTCTGTCACATGTTCTGCCCACCCCGGCTCTTGCTCTTAAAGCAGCAGTAGCTGGGACCAAGTTTGGAGTTCCTGGCATGAGTGCAGACCCACAGGGATGGGTGGGGGGCAATTCTGGCCCCTCCTAACTTGGTACCTGGGGCATGTACCCCTCTTGCCCACCCTTAGTTACACTACTGGGTTTTTTTGTAAGGCCCATTGAATATAGTGGTATTAGTACCACTACATATATAGGTATCCAAACACAGGATGCTGCAGAAGATTTTTGGAGTCAGAAGTTTCCATTTTTTTTTATTGTGAAAGTTTTAATAATATATTCATAGTTTCATAGTTGGTAGGGTCAGAAGGGACCTGAGCAGATCATCAAGTCTGACCCCCTGCCATGGGCAGGAAAGAGTACTGGGGTCAAATGACCCTTTCGAGGTGTTCACCCAGCCTCCTCTTAAAGACCCCCAGGGTAGGATTCAAGGGGGTAGTTATCTCTGGTAGGCACAGTCCATAGTAAGAGTCAGACCATCCAAGGGAGAATCAAGTGGCATTCTGCCTCACAGAAGAGCACAGTTGTTTCTGGATTTTTTCAGATATGCTATGGGTAAGAGGTTTTATCCCAAATACCTTTCCATTGAAGAACTAGCATGATGTGTTATCCAGAATGTATATGGGCAAGTTAGAGCCATGGCTTTGTCTACCTGTGCCCTGTACTTTCTGATGAGATTCTCCTGTGAGGAACATTTTGTAAGTAAGCAAGGCATTAACATTATGATTATGGGATCCCATTGATAAGAGAAGAAAAAAAGAGGGTTGGGAAGAGGCTTATTTCAAACTTGTCCCATAAAACCAGACCACTCACTCTGAAGAGTACATCAGACTTGTGATAGGCTGAGAAGAGGGAAGAGAAGATTTTGTTCACCATCCAGAAATGTAATTCAACAAATTGCAATTTGGAGAAATGAAAAGTGCTGCACCTAGTCATCTTGGAGTCCTAGTGGACTCCAAGATGAACATGAGTTGGCAGTGTGACGAAGCCATCAAAAAAGCCAATGGCACTTTATCGTGCATCAGCAGATGCATGACGAATAGGTCCAAGGAGGTGATACTTCCCCTCTATCTGGCGCTGGTCAGACTGCAGTTGGAGTACTGCATGCAATTCTGGGCGTCGCACTTCAAGAGGGATGCGGATAACCTGGAGAGGGTGCAGAGAAGGGCCACTCGTATGGTTAAGGGCCTACAGACCAAGCCCTACGAGGAGAGACTAGAGAAACTGGATCTATTCAGCCTCCGCAAGAGAAGGTTGAGAGGTGACCTTGTGGCTGCCTGTAAGTTCATCACGGGGGCACAGAAGGGAATTGGTGAGTATTTATTCACCAAGGCGCCCCCGGGGGTTACAAGAAATAATGGCCACAAGCTAGCAGAGAGCAGATTTAGACTGGACATTAGGAAGAACTTCTTCACAGTTAGAGTGGCCAAGGTCTGGAACGGGCTCCCGAGGGAGGTGGTGCTCTTCCCTACCCTGGGGGTCTTCAAGAGGAGGTTAGATGGGCATCTAGCTGGGGTCATCTAGACCCAGCACTCTTTCCTGGTTATGCAGGGGGTCGGACTCGATGATCTATTGAGGTCCCTTCTGACCCTAACATCTATGAATCTATGAATCTATGTGGTCTAGCTTCCACTGAAACTACAAAGATAACTTGCCATGACCTCAGTGCAGGATTACATCTTTATTTTATTTCACTAACATAATTTGCTGTTATTCTGAAGAAGAATTTTCTTTCATTCTGGTTTAACTATGTTCTCTCCTAATTCATGTGCTCCAAGCAGAAGTTTGCAGGCTTAGAACTGGCCTTGTGGGAGAGAAGCTAAAAAATTCCCCACAAAAACAGCGATTTACATGTTCTGTTTAAACCTTTTTGCTTTGTTTTCAAACACTGGAAATTTTGAAAAAAGTTACAGAAATATGGGCTGCCTATGAAGATGTGTGATGCAGTAGATGGATACTACCCGATGTCTGACCCACATTGTGAACAGCCAGATAACCCAGCAGATGTATCTAGAACTGCCAGAGCAGGCAGCCACTTCAACCTGACAGCAAGATCTAACTGGTGTTCAGGATTTCCAGGGGTTACTGCAGATGTGCTGACAAGGTAGGGAGCAGACGGTTTTAACTGGTGAACAATGAACAAGAAGAACCAGGGAGGCACTCAGGGAATCTGTAACATACTATATATGGCAGTTACAAACCTTTTTCCCTTTTGCAGTTGCTCAGTGAATATAATGTCCCTCTATAGTGATAATACCAAAAAAATCACTTATGTAGGCCTCTTTTTATAGTTTTGCCTTTCCAGGTGGCTCATGAGAAGACGACACTTGAAAGTACTGCATGGCGTGTGGGTATATTGTATGCACAGCATTTTATTCATGTAAGTCACAGATACAGTCCAAATGAACACCACTTTCTAAAATATGCCTCTACTGATAGAAAGAAGTAGCTCAGAAGCAGAACCAAAAGCATTTATATGCATTTTAAAATGCTTAGCAATGAACCCATTAAATCAGTTGGTGACATGAAGCTCTTTCACCAATTCAGAGCTATCCTAGAAAGCAGGAACTGAAGACTTGGAAAGTATGGTGCCTATCTTTTGTTGACATTGCTGTGCCATGAATCTGGAAGCACAAGGCAATCCATGTGTTTTGAGTTTGCGGTCTGAAAGCTGTTGACTAAAGGCAAAGTGGGACCTGAACACAGGAGCACAGGCTGCAGTGTACCAGAGACACCCAGAAAATGTAGTTTTTTACCCAAGGAATCCTTTAAAACAAAATGGGTATTAGCAAAGCTCAGCAATGAAGAGAACATTTCATTTTTGCCCAAACATGCTTAATTCCCACTTAGTAGCAGTAATGCCTAGGCAATGCAATAAGGATAAGGATCACATTAGGCTGGGTATATAAGGTCTCTGCTTCCAAGAGCTTACAGATATAATGTTCTTTTACAAATAGAAATGTATCACCTCAGAGTAATCATACATACATTTCATTTGCCTACAGGTGTATAGTGCAGTGCCTGCAGTAGCAGAGAGCTGGACTTAATGACACAGGGTACATGTTAAAGGCAAGTACTAGGGAACATCTCTGTGAAGGACAGAATACCTGCTCTGCACACCCTACACCACAGAAGAGATGTAATATGACCACAGTATTACTGCACTTGGGTACAGGCCAACATACTCCCCTATTTACAGTATGTTTATTAGTCCAAGCCCAGCACTGCAATACAAGAAAATGTAGAGTGGGTGTGCAGAGTGGGTGTGCAGTGCATCACTGCAGTATTCCCTACCATACGCCTTTGATTTTGTGGTCCCTTCCAGTCCTGTGCTCCTGAAAGCACCAGGGGAAACATTGCTTTTCAGAGAATCTGTCCTTTGGATCAGAAATCTGGACTTGGATTTGAATGCCTGAAAATGCTAATATGAGAACTCTCTCTCCCATTCATCCTTTCCAAAATCCTTCCTTTTCCCCAAGAGTCAAGATAAACTGCATTTTAAGTAGCAAGCATTATGCTAGAATGCATTATTGTTCAATAGCATTAAGCTGTTATCAATGTAAACTGACTCCCAGATGCATCCACTGTCTATAACCCGGGGCAGTCACTATGAATAGAAGGAAGATAAAGACAGTTAATTGAGAAAAATCCTCCAAATAACAGATTGCTGCTAAAATAGCTCAGAATTTAGAGGGCAACACAAAGAGACTCTCACCCAATTTCCCTGCTTAGTTACACTAGTGTAAATCCAAAATGATGTCAGTGAAGTCAAGGGACTAACACTGAGGCAACTGAGATCAGAATTTGACCCACCATTCCCATATCCAAGCAAAAGAGGAATAAACAAATTAGTTTTTGAGCTTAGCTATTCCTGTGTCTCTTGGGGAAAGCAGAGTTAGAAGTTTTCCTTATTAAAAATGAAATGCACCCCTCGGGGATCAGCCTCTGAGTTGTTGATGCTCTGCTTATTGAGTGAGTCAGCCAGGGCCTCGGGTCCACACAGGAAAACACCTATTCTGGAACTGTTTAGAAGAAAAATGAAAGTACAGTCAGTGACTAAATGCATAAACAATCCACAGCAACATCATTAGGATGGGTGAGGATATGAAGCATTTGGTCTGCTGCTGACAGCTGCTAAGGGCACTAAGTAACTTCTTGTATTACAGTACTTAACAATTTAAATCTTCGCAGTACTCTTTGAACAGAAGCTCTGTTATCCTTGTAAAACCCCCGTGAAATACACTTGTAAGTTGTATTATCGCTTGTAAAATAACGGATCAAATACTGGTACTGCAGAAGCCAATGGCAACATTACCACTGACTTTCATGGAGTTGGAATTTAGCTTAGTGAAGCTGTGGCCCAAGGAGCTTAAAACCTATATTCTCAGAAGTAGCCTCAATTTCACTGCTTCAAATTTTGGGTCTGTGGATCCAGGGTATCCATATTAAGGTTTCATTTTCAAAGCTCTTAATCACCTGAGGCTCCTAGTGACTTCAACTGGAGCTACAGATGTTGGCATCTCTTTGTAAAGATGTCAGACGTTGCTTGATGTTCAATACACACAATTCAAGCATTATTTGAAAATATAGATTTAAGTGACTTGACAAGGATCACAGAGTATTTGAATCTGGGAGCATCTGGCTCTGAAAACCACATGCAATCTGTGTCAGCATTCTGCCTTTCAAATATTAACATAAGGAGCAAGGCAGTTCTTTCACGGCAGTTAGTTTGAAGGACCCAGACACTATAGTCCCCAGACAATATAGATCTGAACACTTGTGTACCCTGCATGCTTCTGAGCAATGGTCTTGAACTCATTTTCCCAGTTTGGTCTGCCATACAAGGTCTTCTGTGTCAGGCCAGTAATCACATCTTTCTTTTCATCATGATGCACTGCAAAATGAGTAGCCTGTGAGAAGAGAGAAATGTAGCATTGTAAGGAGAAATTTAGACATTAGGATTAGACCTGGGGTCAGGCATAATACTCTCTGCTTTAGCACCATATTAAACAGTAGAATAATATGAAAATTAGATTAGTTTCTGCAAGATGCAGAATTTACAGTGATCAAGAAGCTAACACTTAGACTAATGGTCAAGATTTCATAATCAAAAGCAAACAAAAAAAAACACTCTACAGGTGATCTCAGGATTTGAAGATACTAATCCTGAAAGCCAGTAATTAGTTTACTGTTCTAATGAATGGCATTATCTGTCATTCTCCAGTATTAATAGTACAAATTCTCCCCTTGTTTGCAATGAATGGTACAACCTCATTGATTTTAATGAGGTTGTTCCACTTTAAATTAAGCAAAACACTCCTCGTTCCATTGAGGTCTTTTCTGCTCTTCCAGTCTGTGTAACTTCCATCTCAGTCAAAGGGAGTGCAGAATGCCGAAGGGCATGATTCAAAGCTGGCAGAAGTCAGTGAAAAGATTTACACTTACTTCAGTAAATGTTGGAAGAGATATTAGCTCTACTGGAGGAGAAAAACGAGAAGGCCTTTTTTTCTAAACTGGGAGTTCCACAACCTTTCTTCTTCCCCTCTTTTCACACCTGATAACTTGCCTCCATTATGGGTCAAAATTACCCAAAATTTACTACAGCAAGCATCTTTCCTGACTGAATCACAGATTTCTCAAGTGGGTAATAGAAGGTTTGATTCCTTGGTCTCCCAACAATGGCTTACATAATTCAATTTCACCAGAGAGGGAGAGGAGCTAAGAAACTCCTAGAAGAGAGATTCTACTTTTTGGCTGGGTCCTGCTGCAGTGTGTTAACTGCTACCAATAGACCAAGCTACCATTAATGCTGCATTAGGCAGCACTAGACCTCTACTAGCAAGCTGCAGGGGCAGCTGAGGTAGATGCTCTGAAGAAAGACCAATTCCCAGCTGCACAGCCAAAATACCACGGACAGTATATTAGACTGAGCTTCTATAGGTTTTGAGACATGGGCTAGTTTATGGCTCCCTTGGCCCCCAATGGAATCCTTATCTCTATCCCATACAGAGAGACAGACAATGATTTAGCCCAATAATTGTGCTTCAAAAAACAGGCCAAACAGCTTTGCTTATCTATGACAATTTAAAGCAGAAATGTTCAAGTTCCTCAAACAGGACACAACTGTTCCCTGAAGTGCAGGTCTTATAGGAAGGAGTGACAGCAGTGGAATCACTTGCTGGCATTTTATATTCAAAGTATATGGTTTACTTCTACCAGATCAAAATGGCTACATTACTGTCCTCAGATTTACAGGTGGACCTGTAAGATCATGACCCTTCAGCATTTTGTTCTTGGCCCAGGCAAGAGAGAAGTTAGTTTGCCACTGGTTGTGGGTATCCAAAGGAGGACTTGGGTACATAAAGGAAAGCTAATATAGAACTTAGTGCTGAAGTCTGAAGGCGTGATTAAAAATTTCCCGGTAAGCAGCCATGTAAACTCACTAGCCACTTCTGTTTGACCTGGAAGTTCCCTATGCACCTGGGATCCTGGTTACCTCTGCCCTGGTCTGACCAGCTAGGCCCCTACTTCCTAGCTAAAACCTCACTGGGATTCAGAAACCAAAGGGAGTATTGCCTAAATCCCCCAAAGGCCCCAATCCAGTAGGCATTCTCTGAGCACACCTCCTTCTCATGGACATTATTAAGCATAGCACAAAACACAGAAGCCATAGCCACTTGCATTACAACACATTGGTGGTGGTGATAGTTGATAAAACACTTGCTGAGGAAGTGAAAAAAAATGTTTAATCTTCTTTTCTGCCTAAGGGCATTCAAATGTGTATCTTCCACCACCCAGGAGACTGCCCTAACCGACAGACTAGAGGTGAGGCTGTATGGTGGCACCTACTACCATCCTACAGAAAAGGTGGGGTCAGTTCCTTGAAAGATTTGTAGGAAATGTCTCTGGAGTCTCAATCCCAAGAAAACAGAAGCCCTACCTTGAAAGACACCTAACCTCCCAAGAGGAGCATGAGCTCAGATACACCCCTGTGCATAGCTATTTCTGTTGACAACATCTAAGTCAGTGGGAGCCAGCCTTTTTGGCAGGCATGCCCCATACCTTCCCTGAGAGCCATGCTGATTCCCCTTTCCACGCCTGATCCATCATCCAGCCTTTTGTTCCCTACCCTGTGCTCCCTAGCCAATCTGCTTGCCTGCTTCCTACCTTGTGTTCCCTGACTGATTTGTTGCTCTGCTTTTTATCCCCTGCTCTGTCTACCAGTGTTTCTCTGTTCCCTTCCTGACCTGCCACATGCTGCACACAAGCTACCCGTGCCATTTGTGGCATGAATGTTGCAGGTTGAGCACCCCTGTTCTGGGTGGCTCCTTCCTTAGCATGCCGGTTGGTTTGGATCCCATTCTGAGGTGCCTACCTCTCCTTGTGCACATCATAGGTAGCCAAGTACCAAACTCTGGGCTCTGAATTCTACTCCAGGGGCCACAGGCCTCAAAGTTAACCACTGTAGCAACTAGGTTTGAACATGTCTAAATCATACATAGGATCTGGCTCTAAACCCATTCTCAAAATGTAGTTCTTAATGTTTTCTTCTCAGGTTAAATTTCTCATGCATTAACTAGGAGAGGGCAGCTTCAACTGGTGAGGAAGACAGGAGTAGACTCAGTGCCCTGATGAAGCCTGAGAATACCTCTGTTCACCTCATGTGATTCCCCGCTTCTTTCAAAGACCCTGGCTTTTGCTGGCTTCCCTCCTGGGAATGAGCAGGCCTGGGTCTAGGTTCCTCAGTGGGTGCTCACTCCTTGCATCCACAAGAAGGGAATGTGTCAGGGCCATGTGAAATATTTTCAGGCTCCCAGAGCAATATGTGAGGGATGCACGGTGGCAGCTTGAGTTAAATTTATAATGGAGTTTAACTGAGGAGTGTAGCTGAGATGCCTAGAGGCTGATGTTCTAGCTGCTGGACTATATGGTTGTAAGTCAGACACTTCTGCACCCAGGGGAAGGTTGGGCTGTAGAGCTATCACCGCTAGAATTCTGTCTACAGCACACACAAATATCTTGGTTACACATAATTTTGTACAAGTTTGTTCTCACAGTAACCCTATAAATAGACAGACGTGCAAGGCCTAGGAGAATGTAACAAAAAAGAGGCCCTGAATTAACCATTATGTATAACAACTAGCATTTTTCCCCACAGAGTGTTTACCTGAGATTCATCCCAGCCTGTAAGATAGATGTTGTAGCTGAGAAATTCGGCATTATCCCTCTCCTGCATTTGAGTCTCCAGTGACTGCAAGAGGTCAGCAAACCATTCAAAGGCATGAGTGTCTCTGCACAGCCAGTAAAAATAGATCTGAAAGAGACAGGATTAAGCTCTTAGGGTCTGTGTGCACATACACATTTCTATTTTCATCGTGCTTGCTGATCAAAATGGAGATTTACAGAGGCTTAGCTTACCAGTCCTTTAGAAACCCCTCTGGCATGAATACTGCATGCCTTTGGAGGCTGGGGGGCACAGCGAGCTCCCGCAGGTGGTGGCAGTGAGAGGTGAGCTCCTGCAAGCAGCCGCAGTGCTTTCGGCGGCAGGACAGTGGCAAGCACTAATCAGTGGTTGGTGACTACCCGCAGACTCCACTGGCAGCATTGGCAGCAGCCAGTAACAATCGGGGACCGCCTGCAGACACCGCCGGCAGTATCAGCAGCAAGGGCAGGGAGGGTGGCTAGTGGTTACCACCCGCAAGTGCCACCAGCACTGTCAGCAGTGCTTTTTGGAGGGGGTGCACCGCCAAGCTCAGGGGGTGAACATGCACCCGCATGCACCCCCTACGCATTGCCAGTGCCCCCTGGCTACCGAATCTGACAGGAGCATGATGTAGCATCAGAACTTTACAGGTATTTAAAGGCTGGAAGGGCTGTGAGGCAGAGTTAATGATTGCAAGACTAAGAGAACAACAGCTTCCTATCCTCCCAACCGTCAACATCTTATTTACTGGTTTATGCTGCCTCTCCACTCCTCCTACCTAAAAATAGCAGTTTGATAGGGCATTAATAGTGACTAAAACTCAAGTACTGTCTCTGCCTTGGCAGCTGAAGAGGGCCCAGTAGGCAACAGAACTATTTCTGTTCTTCTGTCTGAGGTGGGCAAACAGACATATGGACAGTGCAGCTGTGCTTTCTGGGAGCATTCTCTACCTTAGCACACAGGGTAATTTCCAAGGTAAGGGCATGGTGACAGTATAGTTTAATGGATGTTGTAAAGTTCCACCAGAGGAGAACTGCAGCAGCTGCCAGTTTGCAAGAGTGTAATAGAGGTGGGGATGTGACTTTATGGTTGCTGTACAGCTGGGAGAAGGACTCCTCCAGTCTGCAATCCCAGTGAAAATCCCCACAGTATAGTTGCTCTTCCCAGGGCTGTGCACAGGCTATGGAATTTGGTTTCTAGGCTGCTTTTATAAATTGTCTTTTTATAAATGTGTTTAATAATTTTCTTTATAAATTGGATTTTACTTATTTAATACATTTTCCCCTTCCCTTATTTTACCTGTTTTATTAATAATCTGGGTTTTCTCCCTGCATGCAAGTCAATCTCTGGATCAAGCTACTTTGTACATAAGCGTTGCTGTGGCCATTTTGTTGAGGGATTTTTCCTCTCCAATAATTGTGAGGGCTCTGGAATAAAAGTTTCATATACTTTACGGGGGATATACCTTTTTGAGCCTGAGGCTGGTTGCATCGTGGCAATATTTGTACCAGACAGACTTGAGTACCGATGCAAATGGAGTGACCCCTATTCCAGCTCCAACTAGCATAACAGTTTCATAACTGAATACATCTTCACTAGCTGTGCCAAAGGGGCCATCCACAGCTATCCTAAAACAAAGAGCACAGTTGATACATTATAAAAACAATATACTCTAGCATATCTATTAACTTACATTTGCTAAAAAATTGAGCACGATTCTCTCTAAGTCCAAACACTACTTGATAAAAGAAGGGATGGAGGAGACCTGAAAAATAGTTGTGGCTCTCTGAGTCTGGCACAAACATGAGTTACACCTGGGGTGGATGCAGAGGGGATGCAGTGGCATAGTCAAAACCCTCTTTCACAGTGTAGCTCACCTGCAGCAGCTCCAGTTCCCCGTGGGCCCCAATACTTGGCTCCCCCAAGGAGGAAGAGGAGCAGCTGGAGCCCCATTCTGGCATAGAACATCCTTGGGGATTAAGTAGGGAGCAGGTGAAGGAGAAGGAGGGACCTGCCCACTGCCGCTATTGTCCCCGTCTTACCTGACCTTAACAAAACCAAGCCCCAGGACCATTCCTGCTCTGCTCCAACCGGGGCCTTCATGGAGTGGCTGCACAGGGCACTGGGCTCCGGCAGTGGCAGCAGGCAGATCTCTGCTCCCTTCCCTTACCCTGCATTGCACATGCCATCCTGGGAGCTCCAGCTGCAGGCTGTGACTATATGGGGCTCAGGTCAGGGATGTGGCAGTTGGTGGCTCCTCCTTCCAGTGCCTGCTTTTGACCAGCTGGGGACACCAGGGGACCTGGACGGGGGGCAGGAGTGCCTGCAATTTGGGGGAGCCTCCCTGCCACTGCTGTCCCTGGCCAAGCCCAGTATGCTACTGCCGCTCAAAGAAGTCCCCAGCTGGATTGGGGCAGGAGTGGCTTTGGGCTTTCCCATGCCCTGAGAAAGCCAGGAACAGTAGTGACCGTGGGCAAATCCCCACTTCCAGTGCTCAGAGGCAAACCTTGGGCAACTCCTGCTGGACAGGGGGTTGGGGATGGGAGGAGAGGGGATGTGCTGCTGAGCACTGGACGGTGGGAGGGGGCGATGAGAGTTGGGGGAAGGAATCTTACCTGCTTCTGGGACAAAGAAGGCCCTGGCAGCTGGTGTCTGCTAGGGAACAGGGACAGGTGTGTTGCAACCACCCCTGCTGCATTGGTAACATCTCTCCCACCCCACTTTTCAACTTGCTAGATCCACCCATACTTACTATAGACATAGAGCTACTGCAGTTTCTCCTGCTGCCCCCCCAGTAAAGGAATGGCACAGTGGAGAGCTCTGCTGTACTCTACTCCCTGGCAAGTCTCTTCTGCTGTTGTTGTGAGGAGTAGGAAACTGGCCCAAGATCTCATTCCTTTGATTTATGACAGTAATGAGTTCTAATCAAATAGCAGAGCTCTTCATTGGTCTGATGTGGAGCTCAGAATCTGTCCCTTCAACTTAGAGTTCAGATTTACCTTGCCCAAGTATATTTCCCACCAAAGAGAAATCACTCCAAATCCAGGAAAATCACCAGTTAAGCCAAAATTCACTTCCACAGAAACACTTGTCCCCATTTACTAAAACATGCATTTTCTATGAGTTGATTTTTGTAAGCGGTGTAAAATAGAAGTCTGGAGGGTAGGCATCAGCCAGGATGGAAGGAGTGAAGAAATGCATGATGCATGCCTCCAAAATGGATAGCTATAATTTTAAGCCAAGCAGATTTGAAATAACAATATTAATAATATCACCATAGAGATTGTTCTTTGTACATACTTGGGCAATTTCCACGCTTCTTGGAATTCTTGTTTATCACATCCACAGACATTAAACAAACCCTCTGTCCAATCCCCTACAATACGGACATGAATGCTGAAGTAATCCTCTTCAGGAGCAGAAGTCAATGTAAAAGGGTGCCACTCCAGTCTTGATATTGCAGGACATTTGACAAAAATATATTGCCCAACTTCCATCTTGAAACCCTTCTTCATCATCTGGAGCTCAATTGTTTTGAAAGGATGAACGACTACCTAATGGCACAACGTACAAAAATGTTGTCAACACTTGTGCGGTCAGACCTCTTTCACCATGATCACATCCATCAATACATGGCATCATATTTTGCCAAGGGAACAAATAAAACTGGTCAAAGTGCTGGACTGACAGTACTGGAAATAAGAGTGCTTTGTTCATTTCCACATAGGAGATATAGCAATTGTTCACATTGCCTCACTATTTCTTTAACTTTGAACAAAAGTGAACAGCTCAAGGAGTAAGAGGAGTTCAAAGTCTCTCAGACCCTTTCAACCTTTACTTCATTACTGAGGTAACTATTAATTTTCAGGAGAGATTTAAAGAAGGGGGAATCAAGTCTGCTTGGCTAAATTTATAACTGACTCGCCTCATAAATATTTGTACTACAGTAGCTCTTAGAAAGACAGGGACCCTCTTTTTGTGCTCAGCATTGTGCAAACAGATAATAAGAGACATTTCCTGCCAGGAAGACCTCACAGTCTAAGCAGATAAGGTTTGGAGAAAGGGGCCATGTCTACATGAGACACTACTGCACAGTTGTTACTGCACATTTATTTAGTACTTGTTTATTATAAATAGTATTATGAACAAGTACTAAATAAATGTGCAGTAACCCAAATCACTGCCCAGTAGTACTGGTGAATGCCTTTTACTACTGCGCAGTAGCGTCATGTCACGGTTTTTGCCATGCAGTGTCTCATGTAGATGTGCCCAGGAAGTATCATTATCCTCATTTTGCAACTGGGGAGGGAGGTGAGGCACAGGGAAATTAAAGGTAAAATATTTGAAAGCATTAGAGTCATTTAGCAGTCTCAATTTCAAAAGCTGTGGCTCTCAAGTATCACTGAGAAATCTTAAATGTCTATATCACTTTGGAAAATGGACACTCCAGCTCTTGAGTTACTTCTGGACTTTTGGAAATGTTACCTTATGTAACTTAGCCAAGGTCACATAGGAAGTCTTTACTGGAACTAAGAATTATATCTATGTCTCCTGGATCCATGGCTTTTAACCATTTTTCTTTTCCTACATCATTTTACTTTGGGAGTTATATAGAGTTTAAATTTGGAGACTTAGATGAAACTGAATCAGTATAGCTAAGAGGATTTTTTTCCTTAGTTAACATCCCCCAGAACACTTTGTGAGAGTCCCAGAAGAGGGCTTTTACTCTAACAGGCTCAGCCTGGCAGGGGGATGTCACTGCCTTTGCCTGAAACCAGTTACCATATTGCATTCTTGAATACTGACCACAGGTAATCAGCAGGGATCCTGGTTTTCTCTGATAAAAAAATCCCCATTTTTCAGATTTAAAATGTAACCCCAAATCCACATTGTTCCATGATTAAAATGAAACACCACTATAAACATATATCTATGTATTAGTGGCATTTCATTTTAATCACAGAAAAATATGGATTTTAGGTTATTTTTTTAAATCTGAAAAATGGGGATTTTTTTTATCAGCAGAAACCAGGATCCCTGGTAATCAGCAAGCTCATGTACATCTGCCCAAGATTAAATGCATAGCATGGCCACATACCTTTGTGATAACAACCTTCTGCTGTGATCGCCAAAATCGCACCAACCTCTCACACAGGTATAAAAACATCGGAGCCACTACCCACTTCCATGTCTGTTAACAAAACAAAAATGACAAACAAGTGAAACAAGGAACTATGATATATTTTAGGATAGATGCATTCAATTCTTTTGGCCCTATGGACCAGACTAGGGTCACAGAGCTGGTCTGTGGGAAAGATTGGGCCTATAGACCAAGAGTTCACATTTGCTTTCCCAGATTTTCCGAGGAGTTTAGATTCATTGAGTTTACTCTGTCTTGAAATATATGTCCAAAACATTATATTGGGTTATGAATCTAAAATTCAAATTTGCCAGTTCTAATATAAAAGTGGAGGGCCTATATATTTTAGTCCCTATATATACCAGAAAACATGCAACTGGATCAGGAGTCAATCATCTCTTCTCATTAAACATTTATTTTCTCTTGCCTCCTAAACCTTCATACCATGTGTAAGTCAAGAAGTACATAATGCATACATTAATTAATAGTGTAACTACACTGATGGAAATTGAACTGCACTGAGGATGAATGTGGCACAACACATAAATGTTTCTTTCTTAAAACGGTGCTTGCATGACTTCTCTTGGAACCTGGGGGACAAAATAGTTTCAAAAACATTTTCAGGGTAATAGGACTTCCAGTGGTGAGTAACAAGCTCTAAAATCTACCAAGTTGGAAAAGAAGCCAAGGAACAGCTGAGGTCAGATTTTCCTTCTTCCTCTTAACCATTATGAAGCAAACTCCACTCTCATGTACATCTGTGCAACTGCATACATTATGTTCTAAAAATAAGCCTGTTTTATAAATAAAAAGTACTTCAAATAGTTTCACAAAATCAGGATATGAGAATGACTTACGTCCCAACAATAATGATTGTCCTTCTTTCAGGGAATGCATTCTCAATAGACTATACTGAAAATGAAAAACCTGTGTCATTCTCGCCCTTAACAAACACAAGCAAGCTTGTGATTCCTATTGATAGGTTGGTTAGAACCTTCAATTTAACCCTAACTAAGCTTGAAACTAAATGCATAACTGTCAGTGTCACTGTTCCTAAACCTGTGTTTTACATTAGGTGTACAGTGGTTCCTTTATTAATAAGAAATTATTAGTTATTATTCCTATAGTGATAGCTCCTAGAGACTCCAGCTGTAGATTTAAAAAACCTCCAGATGCTTAACAAAGACAGTCCTTGCCCTTGAGAGATTACAGTTTTTCCTTCCCTTGTTATGCTCATGCATACTTTTGAGTAAACTGCAAGCTCTTTAACACAATGTGGTAAATTGCTTTCAAATCTTTTTTTGGTATGTCAGTCTCGATCAATATTTTTCTCTTTTCCTTCTTTGCCCATCCTATTAAATATGTTTGTTTTATTTTAGAGATGTACTGAGGAGGTCAAGCCTATTTCATTTCTCTTTGAAGAGGTAATATTTGGAGATTCACAGGTACGATTAATATTTAAGCTACTTCAGATGGCAGTTAAAACAGACAGAAAAAGGTTGATTGGCACTGACATCTTGGGTGTACTCAGTAAAGACTGACTAGCCAGTGTCCTCATGTCAGATATCTTTCCCAGAAGTTCTAGTTTGCATAGATAACAATAAGGAATGATACATAACTGGAAATTCACTGATGCCAGGGCTTCAGAAATGAGATGGAAAGTAACATATTTAAGGAATACCCTCCTCAGTCAGAGTATGGACAAACAAACAAAGCACCAAGTTAAAAGTGGAGGGCACATACCATGCATTAGCTGCTACCTTGAATGAAATAGGGCTAAATAGTGTGGTTTAGCTTCCACTTGCCGTAGGATGGGAGCAGACACACAAAACCATTACTATGAAGCAGCTAATGTAAGGTCGGTCCTTCCCCTTTTCACACAGTGTAATTCTCTTATCTGTCTGTACCTCCAGTGCGGTAGCATCTTCTGTCTTGGATCCATCTCTGTTTACAATCCACCATGTCAAAATGGTTAAAAAAGTAAATTAGCACCAATGCTCATAGTTTCCTGAATACATAGATTCATATGAACTCTTCTGCAGCATTGGCTGTTTAACAGAAAAAGGATGCATTACAAAGATCCTTCATTACTGGATTGAAACTTAAAACCAAGATCATACCATTGGAGGATTTCCTGCAAACTGGGGTACAGGACATTTTTGGCTACCCCATTCATTGTAGTTTTTACAATCCTGTGGGGAATGGACTTCCAAACTCTCCTTTGTCTGCCGTCGTACAATACGGCTGAAAGTAAGATAGAACGTTAATGGAAAATTAAATTACCATATATGTATTATTTATGGTTATCATCTTCAGTTATTTTGTTCTGCAAAATTAATGCCCTTTCTGCTAAGGTTCTGTTTTGCTTAAGCTGTAGATTGATTGCTAAAACAGAGCAAAAAGGAGAAAAATCCTCTATGGATTTGCCAGGAGAAACACAAAAATGTCAAGTGAAGAGCTGAGAAATATGCCAGTTGCTATTTGCAATAATGTGGTCACAAAAGGGAACGTCAAGATTCCCAGTTTATCAAGGATCAAAACCAGAAATGCTGCGAACAAATTTCCACCTATGACCTTCTCTTGGAAGCTGTCAGCCAGACCTTCAGCTGATCTACATTATCCTAATACATTGACTTCATGGTTACTCTCCCTCTCTTATCTTCTCTCTCCTTTTCCTATTTTAACCTCATTCCT